GAAACCAAACTGGTTACCGGGCGTGGAAAAACATTCCATATCCCTCACCGTCTGTACAAACCCTGATGGGAGCAGTGGGAAGTTTACCAGCCAGCGTTCCAATGGCAACTCTGGGATCCCCAAGCCTTGGCTCTTGCCAATCCACGCCCAATTCTCTGGTACTCCGACAAGAGAGCGAAATGTAGTAAATAAAAAACTAACATCATTTTCAAATAAGATCAATTGAAGGTATTACGAGTTGAATTAGGTGGTAACTGGGCAGTGTTTGGCTGGGGTTGCTGGTTTTATGAGTCACCTACAGTTCTCAATACAGGAGACGCTGTGCAGTTAGTTATACAATTGAACAGATCTGATTACACCATGGAGTGCGACAGCCAAGGCTCGGAGATCGAGTCACTGCCTTCAACATGCAGCCAAACATGTCATCCATTATCAGAGGTTCCACTTCATTAAATTTCCAGAAATTCCGCTAACCAGGCAGGTCAGTTACATGGGAAATCCACTTATCACACTGAGGCCACCCACCCTGGCCAACCACTCACCCTGACCAGCCTCTTCCCCCACCCTTCCTGACCACCCCAGCCACCCTTCCAACTAACCTTTCCCTCCCACCTGTGCATGGCCCCAGCCACCTCCCCATCCCCATCTAAATTCACCAAAATAAACAACAACAAGATTGCATTTATAGAGCGCCTTTCACGTCGGGAGGATGTGAAATAAGGACTTTGAGCTCATGGTCTAGGTTGACACTGCAATGCGGTGTTGAGGGGCTGTTGTATTGTCAGATTTACAATGCTTTCGATGAGATAGTAAACACGTCCAGTTTGTCTGTTCAGGTGAACGTCAAAGATCCTACGGCACTATTCGAAAAGAGAGGTTGTTTCTCCCAGAGTCCCTGGTCAACAATTCCCCCAAACAAAGATCAGTCATTCACTTCACAGCTGTTTGTGGATCTTTGCTGTATGCACAGTGTAGTAGGCTCTCTATCAAATGCAATAATTATTAATAAGACAGGAACTTACCTGTAGTTGTTTCCCTACAAATTACAGTCACCGATTATTATTACCCATTTTGTATGTGCAATTTTGGGTCAGATTAGCTATTTTGTCTCCCTTTATAGCAACAGTTTAAATTAGTTTACTGTATCAAGCATAGTGTGAGATGTGAGAAGGCACTAAATTAACCAGAGGATTACCATTTGGAAGATTCACAAAGCCTTATTTAAAATGTCTCTTTAAATATTTATACTGAGTGATAGCCTGCGTGCTACGCCACTCCTTTATAAATATTTCATAACACGAGACATTTTAAATTTTTAAAAAGCAATTTACAATTATCACTGTTGTAATCAGTCTAATTATTTAACTACGCAAGTTACATCTGTTTTAAATATTAACAGGATAGCTCTCGCTGTTTAATTAGATTTGTGCAAGGTACTTTTATAATACTGCAATAATACACCCTATCACATCAAAACATCTCAAAACACTTTACTGTAACTACAGTTAAGTGTAGCAACTGTTTTTATAGGTGAATGCGGTAACTGATTTGCACACGTCATGTTGTACAAACAGCTAGCCAAATTGAATAACCAATTGGGGGAGGGGAATTGTTGGCCAGGAAACCAGGAGAAACTCCGTTCTCTTTTCTAATAGTCTTATGGGACTTCAACAATCACCTGTATGGGCCCTTGGTTTAATGTCTCATCTGGAGGACAGTGTTTTTTTTACAATGCAGTGCCCCCCAAGTCAGCACAAAACCACTGTAAATCATTTAAACAGCCCCAATAGTTCAGCTGACAATTGCACCATGTGGTGTGGTACTGAGCCTTACAGACCAGGTAGATCCCATATTCAAACCCAAGGCATGGCCAATGGACTGGCCCAGGTTCCAGACGATGGGGGGCGGGGGGGTTCAATGGAGGTGTGACAATTAGCTTCAGCATCCAAACCCACCAAGCAATAGAGGAGCCAAGTAAACCAGACTTCCTGCTCACAATCACTGACAAATGCCTCCAGCTGCAAAGTGCTCACATCCGTCCATCAAGCCTGAAACATGAAAACTGACCACCTGCAGCAGGCTCATGAGGGGGGGGGGAGAAGAGAGAGCGAGAGAGTGCAAGAGCACATGCAGGGGAAGAGAGGAGAAATTATACAACCGTTCACAAGTCCCATCCTAACTGGTGGACCTGATAGAAGTCGGTCACAGCAGTCGTAAAGCAAAGTTCTGTTCTGGGAATCAACCAAGTCCCCAAAACTACCTGCTCTCTGCAACGCCCAAACCATCACAGCATCTATCAAACTGCATTAAGACCTCAACTGGTGTCCTCCGGCTACAATGCGGGTCACCATAATAGAGGTTACCAAGCTCAGCATTGCAGCTCAAGGGCAGTTGTCTTTCAGAGTTTGACTGCTGATTAACATTTAGGTTCCAGCAATGCAGATAATCAAAGGAGACCACTCACCCCACCCAACACATTCATTTCCATCCTCAATTTTAAATAACCCCAGGCACAAAGACCTGTATTTGGGCATAAATTATTCACGTTAAACAGGGTGGGGATCAGTGAAAGATCATCAGCACCCACGTGTCCCATCCCACCCATCCATTAACTGGCTTCAGAATTACTTACCAATATGTCCACTTTAACAAGGGGCCAGATATTGCAGCCATAGAGTCTCATTAATAAATAGTAATATCTTTTCCATTTAATATTGTGCTTTTCATGTCAGGAGGATTTCTCAAAACCCTTCACAGGATTTACTATGAAGCGTAGTGACTGTGAATTTTACGGGCAAGCATGGCAGCCAATTTGTGCATAGCAATGCCGCACAAACAGCCATGAAATGAAGCATCAATTTTATCTGGGGGGGGGGGGGGGTTGATTGCCAGGATACAGAGAAATTCTCTTCTCATATCAAAAGTGTCATGGGATCTTAAATGTTTACCTGAATAGGTAGAGAGGAGCTTGGTTTAACATCTCATTGCACCTCTGATATTGCACCACTGCCCTAGAATATCAGCCTAAACTGTGAGTTCAAAATCCTGACATGGGGGTTGCATACAACCTTCTCATTCAGAGGCGAGAATGCTACCAATTAAGCCAGGCTGACACCTGTCATGGGCTGAGTTTCCTCAGCATCACCCAAGTAAGGTTGGAAAATGAACGATACACAGTTCCATTATAATGGCTTTTTTTGTCTGTATTCATAATACATTACTTCAAGCAAAATACTAAGGCAACATTACGTAGCAATACAGATACAGCAATACTGACTAGAAGAATCAGCGTGGCTCAGCTGGTAGCACTCTCGCTCCTCCGAGTCAAAAGGTTGTCGGTTTAAGAACCGTTTTGGGGACTTTAAACATAAATAATCCAGACCGACACTGCAGTACAACGTTAGGGAAGTGCCGCATTGTTGGAAATGCCACCCTTCCTTCGAATGAGAGATTAAACTGAGGTCCCAGCTGGGTCTGTTCAGGCTGATATTAAAGATCCCAACAAAGGGAGTTTCTCCCAGTGTCTCTTGGTCAACAAGTAAAAGCATAATTTGTTTTTTCGAACTGGAAAATACGCCAGAAAAATTGAGATGCTAATAGGATCTCTATACTAATACCATTCATCCTACTTTTTCTTCACCTGGAGATGTATTGACGCAGTGAATTTCAGATCAGCAAATAACCGACGTTTCCACCGCGTTTTATTCACCGATGGGAAATCTGCATTCAAATACCTTAAGGCTTTTCGGTTGTACAAACTCGAATGCAGATTTTCCGACCCGTTTTATTAATCCGTCCCTCACGATTGTTTTCTCAGCATTTCTTTTTACACAGAGGTTTACATGACACACAATGAGGCTGTGTAATCTCAGCCCAGAGCACAGTGTTTGTTTCGCAGGGATTTATGGATAAATCCGTCAGCGAACACAATTCATTCAGGCACAAAGTGTTATTTTGCTATCTACAGTACTCCAGGCACGAGAACCATTGACGCACTGGGGGGGGATTTGACGGTTTTACCTTACGGTCGGCACCGTCATCAGAGTTAAGGGTTTGGATGGAGAGATTTTTTTTTAAATTGACTTAACGTATCCGAGCCGCGTTTTCCACAGATATGGCCAAGTCAATCACCCGCACGAACCAAAAACACCACAAAAGCCAATTAAAACACAGATTGTAGATGAGAGCCCCGCTCAAGGGTCGACAGAAACGTCGGTTGGAAGCATTTTACAGTGGAATTTTTTTTCCCCCGCACCAGAGAATAATAATAACCCCTCCAAGAAACAAAACAATAATAAATTGGTCATTTTCAATCCGCGACTGTTTGTGGGACATTGCTGTGCGCAATCGGCTGCCGCGTTCGCCCACAAACATACAGTCAATTCACTTTACAGTGTGTTCTGTGAAGCGCTTTGGGACGTCCTCCCGACGTGAAAAGCGCTATATCAAATGCAAGGATTATTATTATTATTATTAATAAATAACGGCACTGTGTGGAAGACAGACAACCAACCCCATTGCACAACCATTTCACGGTGGCCTTGAGGGGAGGGCCCTCGAGAGGTCCTCCCCGCCGATGTGAAAGGAGCTTCTTTCCAAACCGAAGGGTTTATCGCGGCAGCGCCACGGGAACAGAACAGCTCCGAAAATACAGATTAAAAATAAATAAAAATAAAAATAAAAATAAAGAGAGAGAGAGAGAGAGAGAGAGAAAAAAACACACACACATCAATCACCACAGGGAGCAAATGCGCTGGAAAATCAAACCAAACCGCCGAGAATCACGTGAAGCACTTCGACAAAGCTTCCCAACGGCACGACAGGGCGCGACATCCCAGGTGAGGGCTGTTGTATTACATTATTATAGCTCAGAGACGATTCCCCTCCACTGCTCCAAAAACCCCTCCCTCCGGGGGAATAAATTATTCATGAAGGGATTTTATTGATTTTTTTTTCTCTCTCTCCCTCTCTCTCTCTCTCTCTCGACGAACGAGGCTCACCTTCAGCCCGGTGCCCAGGACAATCACATCATACTCTTCGTCCATCGCTGCCGTGTCGGGAGGGTTTTTGTCTGGAGGCTGTTTATTGTGGTTTTAAAGCGGTTGTTCAGCGCCGCCGCCGCCGCCGTCCGGTCCTTCCCCTCTCGCCTCACGATCGGGACTGAGCCTCAGAGACCGAAGCACAACACCCGCATCTCCCTCCGCCGCCGCCGCCTTTCCCACAAAAGAGTGCGCTGCCCACACCGCCCCGATTGCTCGATCTCAGAGCTCGCAGCGCCAACTCCCCCCACCCCCCGGCGAGCGCTGGCGTGACGTGCGCACGTCTCCCCTCGGCGCTGAGGGGAGTCACGAGCGGCCCGGGGTCGGGAGCGTGCGAGGGAGGGGTTGCGGTTGCGGTGATGGATGGCGAAAGACCACCTCACTGCTCCGCGGGTAAAGTAGTGCCAGCGTGTCCTCTCGGTGAAGCCGTCGACGCGGGCAGGATTCCGGGGCCGCGCACGCGCAGAACGGGGGGGCTGGTGGCGGGCGCGCGCGGCGGCTGCTGGGACTTGTAGTCCTTCTACCCGCTGCCACGCATGCGCGCCGGTTCGGATTTTTTTTTGTTGCAAAGCATGACGGGACTTGAAGTGCCAACCTGACACAGAGCAGATTATACATGAACACAGAGGTCACCGGGATGGTGGGGCAGGTCAGGCAGCGTCCACCCAGAGAGGGCAATGGGTTAACGGTTCAGGTCAATGACCTTTCTTTCGTCAGAACTCAACAAGGCAGATAATGGTTAAATACTGTGTGTTCCGCCGAGACCCTCGTCCACCCGCTTCTCTTTGACCGAGCCTTCAGCTCCCCTCTCGACTCTCTTCCCCCTCCTCGCTCCCTCCCTTCCCTCCCCTCACCCTGACCATTTCCCCCCTCCTCGCTCCCTCCCTTCCCTCCCCTCACCCTGACCATTTCCCCCCTGCTCGGGTCATGACCCAACTGTGCAGCGCCTTGGGACGTCCTCCTGACGTGAAAGGTGCTTTATAAATGGAATCTTGTTGTTGTTGTTGTATCACCTCCAGGCTCGACTACGCCAACGCCCTGCTTCTCGGCCTCCCCAACACGTCCCTCCGCAGGCTGCAGCCCGTGCCCTCTCCCGCACCAGGCTCCCTGACCCTATCGCCCCCATCTTCGCCCGACTCCACTGGCTTCCCATCACACAGAGGATACAGTTCAAGTTCCTGGGTCTCACCTTCGAAGCCCTCCACGGTCTTGCTCTCCCCCCCTACCTCTGTGACCTCCTGTCCCCCTACCAACCTGCCTGCTCTCTCTGCTCAGTGGGCTCCGGCCTGCTTCATGTCCCCTGCCTTGCCTGCCCCACCATTGGTGTGCGAGCCTTCTGCCAATCTGCCCCCACTCTCTGGAACTCTATCCCGCAGTCCCTCCGCCTTGCCCCCTCCCTTGCCTCCTTCAAGACCCGTCTCAAGACCCTCCTCTTCGACCGTGCCTTTAGTCACCCTCCTACCCCTGCTCTCCACCCACCCCGATCCCCAGCTCAGGTCTGAAATGCTGATTGTCCAGCTCCTTGGTATGTCCTCCCTACGTCAAAGGCTCTATACAAATGTAATTTTGTTGTAGTTATAATAATTAATTTTTTTGTTATTTTATTTATTTTTATTATTGATTAACTGCAATACAAACTACACATTTTTGCCCACAAAACATAATGTCAATTCATTTTACAATATACTCTCTGAAGCACTTTGAGACATCTCAAAGACATGATAAAGTGCTATATCAAATGCAAGGATTATTATTTTAGAAACTAATAGCAACAGTACTCGATGCATTTTTTTTATGGCGGGGAAGAATAAAACCGATAAACATATGCAGTGAAAGGATATTGTATCTCAACCATAAACTCTTGACAGTTATGGAATTTCTGGCACTCATCCCGAATAGTAGTTCCAGTATGTGGACTCTGCTGGGAGGAGTGGACATTAACGATCCCACGATGACAAAGAGAAGGGAGTTTCTCCCTGTGTCCTGGCTAACAATCCCCCTGAATTTTCATTCGCTTCATGGTTGTTTATGGTGGGCATTGTCGGGCGGACCCACCCAGCGAGGACAGGAGAGAAAATAACATTAATAATGAGCGTAAATAAATAATAGTATAATAATAATAGTAGTAAATAATAATAAAGACTGCTTGGATAGAGCAATCAGTCACCTTGAGGATAAGGTGCTGGCAGCGGGTGTGGGGCGGGGCTGTGGGTGAGAGGGGGCGGGTCTGTGGGTGAGAGGGGGCGGGGCTGTGGGTGAGAGGGGCGGGGCTGTGGGTGCGGAGCTGTGGGTGAGAGGGGGCGGGGCTGTGGCTGTGAGGGGCGGGGCTGTGGCTGAGAGGGGGCGGGGCTGTGGCTGAGAGGGGCGGGGCTGTGGGTGAGAGGGGGCGGGGCTGTGGCTGAGAGGGGCCGGGCTGTGGGTGAGAGGGGGCGGGGCTGTGGGTCAGAGGGGGCGGGGCTGGCCGCCTGCCCGGGAGGGGGTGCCATGCGCATGCGCGGCGGCGCGCGGTCTTTGAGCGGCTGCTGACAGTGAGGCTGATGGCGGACACCGAGTCCCCGCCGCCCGCGGGGCAGCGGATCAGCCCCGCCAAGAACTTCTTCGCCGGAGGGTTCGGGGGAATGTGTCTGGTGCTGGCGGGGCACCCGCTCGACACTATTAAAGTAAGAGGAAGAGGTAACCCCGAACCCTGACCCCCCCCACCTCCCTGGGACACCCACACCCGTGACCTCTGACCCCCAAGCTCTCAGCCCCTCCCCCGGACACCAACACCCCTGACCTCTGACCCCCAAGCTCTCAGCGCCCCCCCCGGACACCAACACCCCTGACCTCTGACCCCCAAGCTCTCAGCCCCTCCCCCGGACACCAACACCCCTGACCTCTGACCCCAAGCTCTCAGGCCCCCCCCGGACACCAACACCCCTGACCTCTGACCCCCAAGCTCTCAGCCCCCGACACCAACACCCCTGACCTCTGACCCCCAAGCTCTCAGCCCCCCCCCCCCCCCCCCCCCCCCCCCGGACACCAACACCCCTGACCTCTGACCCCCAAGCTCTCAGCCCCCTCCGCCCCCCCCCCCCCCAAACTCCTGGGGTACAGACCAGCACTGTCCGCATGACGAGTCGCGCGCGATACTCGTCAGTAATTACTGCTGACGTGACAAAGCTGCCGTAAAAAAAAAAGTGTGATTCTTTCTTCACTTAACAGCAAGTTAGCGCGTCGGCCCCGGGAGGAGCTGCACGAGGGGCCGCAGGAAGAAGGATAGTTTTTACGTTAACCTGAATGGGTGGCAGTCGGCAGTCTTGAGATGCGTGGATATAAGTTGCTAGAGCCAGGTTGTGACACTGGGGCTCGGTAAGATAAGAGCGAGAACGCCAGGGAAACCGTACGTCTGTAGGTGCTTGATATGTTTGCGGAGCGTTCAACAAGGACGTCCCAAGGTGCTACGCGATCGGTGTTTCGGACTCGAGCCGGGGCTCGGGATTAGGGAGTGTGGGTGGGTGGGTGGGTGGGCGGTGGAGTGGGTGGGGGAAGGAGGGCGACAGAAGGCACGGTCGAAAAGGAGGGTCTTGTGATGGGCCTTGAAGAAGGCAAGGGACAAAGCGGAGGCACTGCGGGATGGAGTTCCAGAGGGTGGAGGCAGAGTGGCTGAAGGCCGACCCGCCAAGGCCGGGCAAGGCAGGGAACGGGAAGCAGACCGTGAAGCAGCGTGGGTTCTAAGATGCAGTGCTGTGGATTCAGGATACTTGGTCTTGCTATCACTTTCTTTATATGACTTCCCTTCTCCAGGTACGGTTACAGACTCAGCCAAAGTCACTGCCTGGCCAGTCACCAATGTTCAAGGGGACCTTTGACTGCTTCAGAAAGACGCTGGTTCAAGAGGTGGGGGCCGCGCATTGCATGTTAACAGCCCTTTTACTGTACTACGATTTTCTCCTCACACTCCTTTCCCAAAAATATTTTGATCTATTTTTTTCTTTGTACTCCAGATATGGTTTCACTGGTGTCAGACTCTCGAGTGCCTCATGCGAATGGTCATTCTTTATGTGTGAGGAGTGACTATGATGGGGGGACCGATTATGGTCAATGTGTATCCAGTGTCAGTGATCAGGCTTGGGATGCCTGACTGAGCATATTTGTAGTGCCTCAGCTGCTGCCTCGGCTGAGATAAGAAAATGCCCACACAGATGTGGAGCCCTGTAGCTTAGAGCAGTCAGCTCGCAGGCGAGAGGATCTGAGTTTGATACCGGGGCAGGGCAAAACCTTCTGCAAATTTCCTTGCTCCACACGCCTCTGTAGGAACCCGGTTGTTAGTCAAATGGCGGATTGCTTTGCCGGGTATAATAATCACTTAAAAAGAAAAGAAAATTGGTTGCTCACTCCACATCTATTTGTGGGACACTGCTGTGTGCAATTGCCTGCTGTATTTGCCTACAGTATAGTTACAATATGTTGCTGTAAATCTTGTAAATCCTGCTTTGAAACACCCTCCTGATGTGTAAGGCTGTTTATCATATGGAAAGATTATTAATAGTGATGAGGATCCCTTGGCTCTTACACAAGTAAAAGCTAAGTTGAAATAATTTTTTATATATAAAGCACAAATTTCTAAGCTGATCATCTGAACGTGGATAGAGAATTCCGTATCAACGATTGGCAACAACTCATGAGATACAACAAAGTTGATTGGTTTGTTCAAAACTATTTGGAGACAACATCAATCAACCTATCAGGAAGTCAGTGGGTATCTCACTTCATAGTCCAAAAGCAAATTAGCCAAGATTTTGCCTCCTTTTCTCTATTCAGAGATTGCTGCTGAAAGATGTGCTTGTGTGAATGCTGTGGGTGCCAAGCTCTCTGAGACGCTGCACTGCGTGGGGGGCACTATATAAGCGCATGTTGTTGTTGGATAAGAATGTGCCCCCTCATCCATCTCCCACATCGACATCTAATAATTTGATGATACTCACATGAATGAGAGCCTTTGACCAGTTCCTTCCCCATCAAAGGAATTAGTGATCTGCGCAGAGGAGATGTATGGGCAGAGTATAACAACAACAACTTGCATTTATATAGCGCCCTTCACGCGGAGTAGCGTCCTGGAGCGCTTGGGACGTATAGAAGCATATAGAAAAAAATTGTATCTTATTTGGATATCTGGTATAGACCAGTTTAATGCTAGCCCATCTCCCCCCACCGTTGCTCCTTTAAACGTGTGCGCGTTTGCGCAACTCTTGTTTGCAGCTATAAATTGTTGAAAGCAAACAAACTGGAATGTAAGTCAAAGGCTAAGTCTTGGATTGGAACAGTGTCATGTGCTTGATCTTTGGTTTTGCGGTGGTTTATTTAGGGTAAAATATCTGCTGAGAGCATTTGATACTGCACTATGTATTCCTGGCACACAATACCCTTAATCCTTATTACTTGCATCCCCTGGACCCCCACCTCCAGCTCAGGATCCCTGCCAACACTATGAAGCACTTTGAGATGTTCTCCCGATGTGAAACATGCTATGTAAAATTATGTTAAAGTCCTGTGAAAGGTGCTATGTAAAACTCTACCTTAAAGTCCTGTGAACTTGGTGAAGAGTCTGCCAAGTGCAGGATTTTCAGTGTCATGAGGGAGCACAGATTATGGAAAAAAAAACCTCCAGATACCCAGTACCATCTACCAACCACATTAAATTCTAATCATTTGATATAGTACAGTATCATACGGTTGAGACGGCTCTCAAAGCGTTTCGGAGGATGAGAAGATTGGGAAGAATGAGAAATCAGAGAGGGAAACAGTATGGTTGTGAAATGTAATAATAATACTTTAATTTGATATAGCGCCTCACATTGTTTAGACGTCTCATGGCGCTTCACAGAATATGCTGTGTAGTAGATTGACTGTATATTTTGTGGGCGAAACATGGCAGCTGATTGCGCACAGTATCCCATAAATAGTCGTGGATTGATTGACCAAATTATAATTTTTTGTGGAGGGATTATTACCCCTGGAAATCTATCCGCCAATCGATTAACAACTGGGTTCCTACTTACTACTGTACTAGGAGAGAAGAGGTGCGGGTGTGGAGTAAGGAAACTTGTCGAAGCATACAGATATTTTATTTCTTACTTCTGACACGCTGATTGGAGAATTTACTGCATGTAACATAGAATTTTTTTCCCATTAGGGCTTCCGAGGTCTATATAAGGGAATGGCTGCACCGATCATTGGAGTCACGCCAATGTTTGCTGTGTGCTTCTTTGGATTTGGCTTGGGGAAAAAACTGCAACAGAAGAGGCCTGATGAGGTCCTCACGTATGTACTGCCATTTGAAATTTTAAGTGTGCTTGTATCTTTTTCTCTGTTCTTTAGGCATCCGTTGCTATTCCAGACTAAGTGCCTGCCTGGGCTATCCTACTCCCAGTTAAGTGTCCTTGAGAGGTGTATGAGAGTGGATTTTAATGTTTTGCCCCTTTTTCTCCTTGGTGGGATGTTTACTTGGCTTTTGGTTTACTCGCCAACACTACTGAGACTCAAATTCCAGCAGGATTTTAGTGCGTGTGTTAGTTAGTGACCATTACGTGTTTAGTAATGTGTTCCTGTGTGTGAGCGTGAGTGCTAGTTTCTGTGTAACCATCGCCTGTATGTATAGAAGCTCAGTAGAATGGGTGCATACTTTGGGAATGACTGTGGGATTTTGCTCCCTGTTTTGCGGGTAGGTATCCACAGCTGTTTGCTGCAGGAATGCTCTCTGGAGTTTTCACGACAGTAATCATGGCTCCTGGCGAGCGGATCAAGTGCCTTCTGCAGGTAAGTAATAAACGTCTCTTTTGAGGGTACGTGGGCTGTATTCCAGAGCAAACTAGACGTGATTTATTGCTTAAATATACCACAAGGTAGCTGGACCCCAATCTGCATTGCTTTTCCAAAACTGAGCGCTTAAAGCATCTTCACTCAATCACAGCTCCAGGCAGGCAGCCTTCTCCTGGGTGAGACATTGTTTGATGAAGATAATAGGTTTGCAGAGCGAGTCTTAGAAACACATGAACAATATAATAATCCTTGCTGTTTGATATAGCATATCATTGATATTTTGTGGGTGAAATACAATACAACTGAAGCAAAATATGGTAGAGCCAGCCCACATTATGTATAACTAAGCTCACGGACCAGAAGATTATCTGCTCCATTACTAGTTCAGTTAATGGATCTCAATTGGCACAGTGAGAAACGCGGAAAGAGGAATTGTAGTTCAGTGAGGTAATGCGCACCAGGCTGGGTGAGAAGGAAACTCAAGGTGGATGCGCCCATGCGCGCTTGTGTGTAGGTCTGGGTAACACCAGGATCAGACTTGACTGACTTCTTCTGACGCTTGCTGTCTGGACCAGCTTGTGCAGATTGGCCACTGAGCGAAGAACCTGGAAGCCTGTTAGCGTCGTCCCCCTGCACCCACACACAGGTCAACACCACCAGGAGAGGAAATGAGGAGATTGACAAAAAACACAAAGAGGTGCCCAATGCACAGCCTCTCTGGTTTTCTTTTCTACTTTGGAAATGAAAACGCTCCCCGATTTTCTCCCCAATCCTGTCCTTCCACAACAACATAGTTCCAAAGGTGCTTGGAACCTAACACAGTGAGCCAACTGTTCACATTGAAGCCTTGACAAACGCTGCTAGATGCTAGCCCGCATGAAGAGCGCTGAATAAATGCGAGTTGTTCTAGTTAACAGACAGCCGTCCGATGTGAAAGGCGCTATAGAAATGCACGTTTTTTTTCCCTGACTTTTTTTTAACGCATAGTTTTACAACTTGTTTAAGATTCAGGCAACCTCTGGTGAGAAAAAGTATGCCGGTCCCATGGACTGTGTCAAGCAGATCTACAGAGAAACTGGCATTCGAGGCATTTACAAGGGCACTGTTCTTACCCTCATGAGAGGTACAGTAACCGAGTTTCAGTTCTTGGCATTTCCTGCCATTTTGGCGTTTCCTCTTGAGTTTATAGGTTTTCCGTCATTAATTTGAGCCTTTATCCACTTGGGACTGATTGAAGCCTCAATTGTGGCTGAGAATCAAAGTGTTTTCTACAATGAGACTGGGCTCTTATTCTCTCTCCAATGTGAAACATTGTAAAAGTATATAAATATCCTGGACTTCTGCTCCACTTCTTGCTAGGTTGAAAAGAGAAAATAATTTCTTGACTAGTAATGACTTTCCCTCTTCCCCCACCCCCTCCCGAAAAACATCTCTGATATCAATCTAGTTTACAAATATACTGACGCCTTTCCTCTCCTGAGGTACAATTCCATCGGTGTTGTAAGTTGTAAGATACCCAAGTGGGCATCATTCATGGGCAAGCCTTGACAGTGAATGTAAGATATTCAGCCAGGCAGAGGGGTGGGGGGTGGGTCATAACCACATTCACATATCCCATCCACATTCGTACATACCAGGAGGGATTTTTGGATAGTGAACCACAACAACATTACATTTAAATAGCACTTTTTACATCGGAAGGACATCCCAAGGCGCTGTGGGTTAATGTTAAAATAATGATTGTTAATAATCGTTTGATATAGACGTTGGAAGGACGTCTCAAAGCAGTTCACAGGATTTACTGTAAAGTGGAGTGACTGTATTTTGTAGGAGAATGCGGCAGCCAGTTTGCAAAGAGCAATGTCCCACAAACAGCCATGAAGTGAATGACTAGTTTTGTCTTGGCCAGGATACTGGGAGAAAGAGCCTTCACTATTTTTGAATAGTGCAATGGGATTTCTAACATCTATCTGAAGAGGAAGATGTGACCTCAATTTAATATCTCACCCGAAAGGCGGCATCTCCAACAACTGCATTGGAGTGTCAAGCCTGGACAATATAAGTTTAAAGTCCTGAAGTGGAGCTTGAACCCAAATCCTGCTGACCCAGAGGCAAGTGTACTTGTGACTGAGCCAGACTGATATCCTGTTATGGAATGCAAACGAATAATAATGTACATTATGAGCCGATTGCTGGTTAACATAGTTTGGGTCCTGGCCGCTCAGGGAATATCTAGTGCTACTTTACCTGTACTGTTGCACTTTCATGTTTTTTTTTGTTTCACTAGATGTCCCAGCGAGTGGGATGTACTTCATGTCGTACGAGTGGCTGAAAACTGTATTAACCCCTGAGGGAACGAGGTTAGTGAATCTATTGTAGTTTCGCTGCCCCACAGACACCGAGCTCCGGGGCCCTGATTACATGCTGGCCTCCACTGCCTTGGAGTCATCTGAACTCCTCCCACTCTGAGCTTCCTCCTGCAATGCCCTATCCTCGGTCACTGTCCTCCACAATTCCCTCTCAATGCCCTTGCTCCCCTCAGTTCCTGAACCGTCTCCTACTCATGGAAGTCATGCTGGTACACCAGCCACCTTCACTCCCTTAAGTCTCAGGTGCATGCCGCTGAACGCACCTGGCGCAAATCCAACTTACCAGTCAGATCTGGCTGGACCTCATCAAATCTTACCGCTCCGCCCTCGCCTCTGCTAGACAATCTTGGAAGCCAAGGGCAACCCCAGGCTCCTCTTCTCCATCACCAACTGGCTTCTCCACCCACCCTCTCATGCCTCACCAATCTTCTCCAACCCAACTGCGAGGTGATGCTGGACTTCCTCGAAACCAAAGTTGAGGGGATCCGTTCAGCTGCCTCTGCCCCTACCCCTTTCCTTACCTCCCAGCTCCACCTCCTTGCCCACTTACACACATACATCATAAAACTCTCCTTGTCCACTGGCAGCATTCCCACCCTTCTAAAAACGTCCGTCATCATCCTAATCTTAAAAAACCCTCCCTGGACTCATCCCTCCTCTCAAACTACCAACCCATCTTCAACCTCCCTTTACTTTCCAAGATCCTGGAACGAGTCATTGCTTCCCAGCTTCGCTCTTTCCTCTCCCGCCACCCCTTCACAAACCTCTCCAATCAGGTTTCGGTGCCGCCCACAGCACAGAAACAGCTTTGGTCACAGTGACAAATGACATTTTGTACATCTGCGACCAGGGCTTTCTCTGCCTCCTCGTCCTCCTTGACCTCTCTGCTGCCTTCGATACTGTTGACCTCCACCACCTCTCCTCTCACCTTCATGGTTCAGTTCTTGAATGGTTCAGATCCTACCTCTCACACTGTTTCCATTTCATCTCCACAAATGGTTTCTCCTCTAGCCCCCGCACTATCTTGTGCGGTGTTCCTCAAGGCTCTGTCCTTGGTCCCCTCCTCTTCAATATCTACTCTCCCTCTTGGTGACATCATCCGCAGACATGGGGTCAATTTCCACATGTTTGCGGATGACACCCAACTGTATCTCTGCTTCCACCCTTAACTCCAGAACCACTACTGTCTTGACAGAATGTCTGTCAGTCATGAAGTCCTGGATGGGAGCTAACTTTCTTCAGTTGAACGACAACAAGACTGAGGCCCTGATTGGCTCCCGTCAGCGCCTCCACACCTCAGGCACTAAACGCATCACCATTCTTAGTTGCAAACTCCACCTTACTAAGCTAGTCCAGAACCTTGCCATCTTTTTTGACTCTCAACTATCCTTTCTACCCCACAGCCGTGCTATGACCCGCTCTGCTGTTCCCCACCTCCACAACATCGCCTGGCTGCTCCAATGTCTCACACCCCAGGCTGCCAAAACCCTCATACACACATTCATTGCAGTGAAGTTCGACTACGCAAACTCCCGTCTTGTCGGCCTCCCCAAATCTTCCTTCCATAGGCTGCAGATCATCCAGAGCTCTGCAGCCCTTGTCCTCTCCTGCATCAGGCTCCGTGACCCTATCATCCCCATTCTCGCCCAACTCCACTGGCTTCCCATCACACAGACGATACAGTTCAAGATCCTGGTCTTTACCTTCAAAGACCTCAATGGTCTTGCTCCCCCCTACCTCTGCGACCGTCTAACCTGCCCGATCCCTCTGCTCAGCGGGCTCTGGCCTGCTTCATGTCCCCAGCCTTGCCCGCCCCACCATTGGTGGGCGGCCTTCTGCCACTCTGCTCCCAGCCTCTGGAACTCCATTCCACAGTCCCTCCGCCTCACCCCCTCCCTTGCCTTCTTCAAAACCCGTCTCAAGACCCTTCTCTTCGACCATGCCTTTGGTTATCCTCCTTCCCCTGCCCTCCACCCTCCCTGATCCCGACCCCCAGCTTGTGTCAGAAACATTGATTGTCCAGCGCTTTGGGACATCCTCCCAACGTGAAAGGCATTATACAAATGTCATTTTGTTGTTGTTGGTCCTCTGGGCAGGGAAACTCCATAAAGGAAAAGATGGAAGAATTTCACTGTTTCCCTCGCCGAGCCACGAAATCAACCGAACGAGATCATTCTTTAGGCTCATATCATAACTTAGACCCGATGTGCACAATAATGTGCTATAGAGGTGCCCAGGACAGGGGCTGTCTTGCTTTGGTCAGTCTTACATGACACATTTTCTCTATCTGCTGCAGTGTGAATGATCTCAGTGTACCCAGTATCCTCTTTGCTGGTGGCGTAGCTGGAATCCTTAACTGGACAGTTGCGATTCCACCGGACGTACTGAAGTCCAGATTCCAGACAGGTTGGTCTTGTTTGGTTCGGCAGCATTTTCTTTTGGCAATACTGAGATTCCTCCTAAACTCCCCACCACCTCAACGTGTTAATAACAACAACTTACATTTATATAGAACCCTCCACTATCCAGGATTATTAATCATTATTATTGAGAATTGTAGAACGTTTAGAGCACAGAAAAAGACTGTTGGGCTGGTTCAAGCACCCATCACCAGAGCTATCTGAGAAAGAAAGCACCTTAATCACATCCAAAAATCTCCAAGGAGCTTCGCATGCAGTTACTGTCAAGTGGGGTGGGGTTTATTTTTGCAGTCAAACCCAGTCGTATTTGTGTCAGCAAAGCCTGACAAACAGCCATGAAGTGAACAACCACATTTTATATGTGGAAATTGTTGGCTGGGACATCAGGATAAATGCCCTTTGCTTTTTGAATAGCTCTGAGAAGCTACCCCACGTGAAGGGTGCTACGTAAACGCATGCGGTTGTTTTGAATTGTGCTGCGAGGTCTTTATCGTCAGATAAAGAAGAACAAACCAAGATGGGTTTAATATTTCACCTTCGACATTCAGCACTGCGCTGGAGTTTTAGTCTAGACTGTGAGCTCAAATCCCAATGTGGGTCTTGAACCACAGTCTTCTGATCCAGAAGTGAAAATGCTACCCAGTGAGACAAACTCATCCTCCAATCCCATTCACCTGCTCTACCCCACATCTTTTAATATTAATTTTCCTCAAATTCATCAAATTCATTTGAATTGCTGCGAATGGATTCCGGCTCAGCAGATTTGTAAATGAAAGGGTGATGTTGCTGCTAACTTCTTGGTTTCTCTGTTTTCCCGCAGCTCCTGAAGGGATGTATCCCAATGGATTCCGTGACGTACTGCGAGAGCTGGTCAGAGAGGAAGGCATCGTTTCACTCTACAAAGGCTTCACCCCGGTGATGCTCCGAGCCTTCCCAGCCAACGCGGTGAGGACGCAAACCACTTCCTGGGTTTCACTGCACTGAATAATAATAATAATAATCCTTGCATTTGATACAGCGCCTTATCATGTTATTGACACCCCCTAAAGCGCTTCACAGAATATATTGTAAAGTGGATTGACTGTATATTTTGTGGACGAAACACACGGCAGCCAATTGTGCACAGCAGTGCCCCACAAGTAGTCATGGATTGAGTGACCAAATTATTATTATTTTTTAATTTTGAGGGATTATTACCCCTGGAAAAACGATCCGCCAATTGACTAACAACCGGGTTCCTACTTACTGCCACATAAACACAGGTGTGCGGAATAAGGAACCGTGCCAAAGGTTTTGCCCTGAGAATTGACCCCAGGTCCACTATGCTATAGGAATAACTTCTCCAGAGCAGGCCCTACTGCTCACAAACCAGAGAATCGATGCAGCTCACAAATGTATTGTGGTTGACGAGATAGAAACATGCAGAGGCAAGCCCCGATACGCTAGGTTTCGTTTGCCTCAGTTAGTACCATTTTCGTTTGTGAGTCATACAATTGTGAGATCAATCCTCATGTCAGGACTTTGTACTCTCAGTCTATGCTGATCCCCCCCAGTACAATGAAATGTGTGTATTGTTGGAGGTGCCGTCCTTCGGCAGAGATAGAAATAGGTTCCCGTCTGCCTGTTCAGGTGGACTTTAAAGGCTTGCAATGAAGTGATGACTTGTGAAGTGACTGACGTGAGGATTACATGCGAGTAGGTTCATCTAAGTAAGTTGGATTTGAGTTATCCTGAGATACTGATTTTCTTCTCCTGATGCCTTAACATTCGATTAACAATTAATTAACATCGGAGGTCGGGCCTTCAACCTCTATACTCTCACCATTGAATACGCCATTCCACCGTCCTTTCGCTTCATGCTTTTTCTTGCCTCCTTCAAGGCCGCGTCTCAAGACCTCCTTTCAGTCACCCTCATACCCCAACCCTCCTTGCCCTCCTCACCTCCTGATCCCAACCCCAGCTTGGGTGCAAATCCTTGAATGTCCAGCACCTTGGCACATCCTCCCAATGAATAAGGCACTATACAAATGTAATTTGTTGTTGATAGGCTGCCTCAAAATATACTGCTCTTGGGAGGTCTGTTGAGATGTGGTGGTATGTGATTATATGAACACATCGGATTTTCGGGTAAAGCAAGTTCCTTATTGTACCTGTCTGATTGGACGGAGGGCAGTGAGGGCGATCTCATGGCCCTACACTTCCAGAACTTACAGCGAGCTATTTCTGAGTCTGCTTTATCTCGATGTTAACTTCTGCGAACTTTAGTCCACTTGGACTTGAGAGGAAACCAGAGCAGCTAAAGCGAGGCTGTAAATGCTTTTTCCATCTTTGTTTTCCAGTCCTGCTTCCTTGGCTTTGAGGTCGCCATGAAGTTCCTGAACTGGTTGGCGCCTGATCTCTGAGTGTGGAACGTTGAGGATTGAGATACTACCTGCCTTTCAATTGTGAAATTAATGATTCTGAAGAAAAATTGCACTTGCCTTAACTTCTATCGTGGACGACTGTGGCTTCCGTAAAACTAATGTTTAATTAGCCATATTTTAGCAGTAATATATTACGTGGAGCAGGAATTAATGGATTTTAAAATCAGCGAAGGTTACAGACATGCTTGAGAGGTACAGGGGCTTGTCTCGTGTTAATTGTTTCCATTGCTGCACAATCATTTTCGGAGGAAATCAAACGATTTAGATCTAGGTTTCTGCTTGTTCTGATTAGCAGTGTGTTTTTTTTTGAGTATGTGTGTCACTGTCTAGCAGGGAATGGGAGAGAGAGAAAGCAAACCATATAATGGTGAGGTGTACTATGAATATACCGGGAAAATGTATAACCCACAGATAACTCGCGGGAAAGAAATTTCATTGTATACTAATGGTCTAAACTTGAATTATGGGGATTGTATAAAATGGGAGCTTAATGTGGATGTCCTACAAATCTCAATTAGTAAGGGCTCAAGATTGATTATAATCCTTGTATTTGCTATATGTAGTGCCTTATCCTGTTGAAACATCCTGAAGCACTTTACAGTTAAACATGGGCAGGAGCTTTGCAGACAATAAGGTCCCAGAAACAGCCATGAAGTCAATGACTGAATGAACATGGTCCATTTACTGCCTAAGCCTCCACCCTGCCCCATGCGTTGAGTGGGTGGTGTATGGGAGACAAGATATTGCCAGTTGGTATTGAGCCTGGGTGGACCATGTGTGAAAAGGTTCTCTTCGTCTGATCTTGTGTTTAGCAAAGTGGTGCTTTTCCAGCTTCAGTAACATATTGCTCTGGTGAAGGGGTAACTTTCAGTGAAAACATGACAAACCTGAATATTATAAAACCGCCACTGCCCATGAGCTAGACTTGGGAACACCTCAGTGTATGCAAATGCCTCTAGAATTGTAATAGCAGCACTGCAATCCACCTGGAGGAGCATGTAGGTTGAAAAGATCTGCTTTAATGATGTGTATTAATTTTTTTTAAATCCGAAAAACTATCAAGCACTATTGAGGCATAAACATTCGTGTATTTTAATGCCAGTAATGTGCCTTCCATTTTATAAACACTGCTCCCAATTTGAGCCACGTGCTGGCAATACTGAACTGGATCTGTGGGGAGTGGGATGGGGTGGGGGGGCAGAAACTGCGAGAATTTCCAGGACACTAGAAAAAGCACAAAAACTAATGGCACTTACAGCTGGGCGTTGACCAGCCCCCAGCACTAGCTTTACATCGTTGATGAGGTCATGATGTGGAGGTGAATTTGAATGAAGGTAGAGATAGTCCATGGACCGAAAGCCTTGAGGAGCAAGACGTAGAGGCTGACTGCTGTGAGATCCAGAGTTGCTCCTGATCCTCAGTGTTATATTGAGCCCAGGAGTACTACTTGACTCAATGGGACACTGTTATTGGTTGACAGGTGTTTGCCACCTGGTCACAGTCCATTGGTACCCCTCTTTTCTCCCCTTCCCTCACCCCCACTCCGGCCACCAGTTCTAGCCATCAGGCAGCCCTAGTCTGTGCTCACTGGCTACCCAATGTACCATGCTCTCCAATGAACATTGTCTTGTGTGCAGGTGTGAGCAACTATCAATGCAGTTAATCAAACTATATTAGTCAGCCACGCAGACTGCAATTCTTGTGCTTTGGTTTTGAAGATAGAGTCCGACCCTGTTGTAAAGCTTCAGATGGAGCACAGTAACACAGCGAGTGAGCAGTGTACAGGTCTACTTTCTAAACATGTCTTCAGACGTCAACAGTAGAAAATCAAGATTGGTTGCTGCTGACTGGAAGCTTTCTGTTTAGGCAACAACAAGTTGCATTTATAATGCGCCCTTCAGGTGGGGCGTCCCGGAGCACTTAAGACATAGCATGGCTCAGTGACTTCACCAGCCCAGCACCATGTGTTAACAGGTTGGATTGTACAGATGTCTGAATTTGTGGAATTTCTTAACCAGTTTCTTTACTAAGGAATCCAAGCTGCTTGAGTGAGGATTTCCTCCCAAGAATCCAAAGTACATTACTCCAACCTGCAACAACTCCTCTACTTCCCAAACGGAGATCTTCCATGGGTTTTCTTGGAGGATACCTCAACTCGGGAACTCTGAAAAGACCTTCCGTACATCAGACCTCAAGCTGGTGATTTTGGATCTATGTTAAATAAATACTGCTTGAACATTACATTACAGGTCACTTCTTGATTTTCAGCAGGAAAAATATTGCCTTATTATCTACCTGATCGACATTTCTTCCCGGTCCTGTCCCCCACTGTCCCGTCCACATTGACCAAAGGTGCATGTGTCTGCCAAGGTTGTTCTTATTAAAAAAAAGGTGGAATTTCTCTTCCCCACCCTCAACCCCCTGATCTTTGTTTTAACAGCTTAAACTTCCTTCAGTGATCCTAGTACTGTACTACACTACTATTGAGAGTGTTGGGAATGGCAGGTGCAACACTATGCATTACCACGAAGTGGCAGTATGTATGTACTTGGGCTAGTGTATGTAGATTGATTCTGCCTCAGTGCTAACTCAGTGTTAACCTCATTTGTGATCAAATGGCTTCATCTACATTGTTGGATGTTCTCTTGAGGGCGAGGAGGGCAGATGTTTTGGACGGAATGTGACGCATTAGTTTAATAATGCAGCACAATTTCACGATTCAGTGCATTTCTGCATATAACAGTTGGCTAAACAGCTGCTAATGTGATGTTAACTTGGTGATTTTTTTTGGGTGAGGGCAAAGACCTTTAAAAGCCTTTTCGTACCAAAAGCAGTCTTTGCCTCATCTAATCCCACTAAAAGTCAACATCAATATTCCTTAATATAAGGAAATAATATTGCACTGAAAAAAAATCTGGTTTGAATATATTCTTGTCCTATTCGCAGAGTAGAGAATGAGAAAAGTCAGGTCTGAGAAATATAATACAGATTTGCTTTTATATCGCACCTTTCGTACAGGGAGGATGTCCCAAAGTTCTTAACAGCCGAGCTGGGAGGGAGGGGTGTGGGGAATGAGCGAAATCAATGTCAAAGAGGCAGGATCGTGAGACGGATCTTGAATGAGGTGAGAGAGAGCCCGAGTTTAAGGGACTCTGAGATAGAGTTCCAAAGAGTGGGGGCAGATAGGCTGAAAGCTCGACCTCCAATGATGGCGCGGGTAGGACAGGAGACAGGAGATAGATTCGCGGAGCCAGGTATGGGAGAGAATATGGGCTGCGGAGTTCTGCAAGATATCACAGACTGTCCTCTGGGTGCAGACAGATTCTTGTACTCGACCAACTCGCACATCTCTTCCAGTAGTTTTCCAGTCTAGCAGCCAGACTCTCATGTCCTCCGGCACATTCCCCAAGAACTACTCTTGTAGCATCGACTGCCACAACCTCAAAATCCTTTCCCCCTGATCCTTTTACAGTATATTCTGTGAAGCGCTTTGAGATGTCTCTTAACATGTTAAGGTGCTATGTCAAATCCAAGGACTATTATTGAGATCTCGGTTCTGATACCTCGGCACCTTATTACAGCGATATACAAGCTCACCTCCAGCCCCCTGGTCGAACCTATCCCTGCACCCTCTACTCTGGACGGTTGATTATTGGTTCTGCCAACGGCAACTCGTGTCCTCACTGCCTCTACCTCTATCCTTTGCTTAGTCAGCTTGACCTCTCAATCTTTCTTATTTTGTATCCAACAATTACAAGATCCCACCACTGACACCAAATATAGTATGTCACCAACTCAGTCCCCTGATTGTGGACGAGTTCTAATTGCCTCTTACTCAGTTCGGAGACCTGCGCAGATGATATTAGCGCCACAGAAAACCCACAGAGACGGCACAATTCCGGTCTAATTCTAAGGCTGATGTAATTATGAAGACTGAATCAGATGGTGATTTTTCACTGGATTTTAATTAACAAGTCGACAGATACAGAGATGGTAGAACATATAACGCGTCTTCGATACAAGAGCTTCAACGAAAAAGAATCAGCGTTACAGGTAGAGGTGTTGTTACTCTTTCTGACTCTTCGTTCACTGCGACACTTTGAAAGGCCTTGAGTCCTGCTTGTCCCTCGTAGCCTCCGTCCCACCTCGGTGACTGTGCTTTCAGCCACTATGCCTCGAAACTCTAGAACACTCTTCCTCTATCCCTCCAACTTGCCCCCTCCTTCCCCATCGTCAGGTCGCGCCAGAAGACCTTCCTCTTTCACCATGGTCACCTCCCCCCTCTCCCAGCTCGGCATCGTGCTCCACTACTGTCAAGCGCTCTGAGATGCTACGCTGCGTGAGGGGCGCTATATAAATCCAAATTGTTGTTGAGTCCTTCCTGGCTCCCAAAGCGGTCCTCCCCTCCAGGTTGCTGACGTCCTTGTTTTGAAAACTCACCTCTCGAGGATGGAGCCCATTCACCAGGAACCAGGCGTTTGTTCGTTCATTCATTCCGTCTCTTCAGTAGCAGCTCAACGTTGCCACCAGGTGTCGGTAAAGATCTGCACAAAAACACAAGTCAAGGGAACTTTTGTCAAATGAACTTAAACTGAAACCAATCTTGTTTGCCTGACTCCGCGCGGAGTTGACAAACTGTGAGGAACTCCTAACTTCTGCCTTTGCTAAATATGTCTGTGTGACAGCTTAAACAAAAGGGCTCACGAGTGGTGGTAGAGTCCCGTAGCTCATGTTAGATGCGAGAGTCTTTTGTTCTAATGTTTCTAGATATTTGTGTGAACGCAGCCCATTGTGACTTTTTATTCCTCTTTCAAGCGGTAGGGATGTCCTCCAGACGTGAAAGGAGCTATATAAATGCAATTTGTTGTTGTAGAGATGAGATCGTTGTGAGTTATCCTCGAGTGAAATTGTCTTGCATTTTGTTCTGCTTAAACATTAACTCGTACGGACCCAAGAAGTTAATGAATGAACAAGTCGTGTTGAACTTCCTTAAAGTTAAATTTTTTAATTGTGTTGGCATTCCCAAGGCTTCCCTCCACAAGCTGCAGATTATTCAGACTCTGCAGCTCGTGTCCTCTCACCTGTAGCAAACCTATCACCCCCACCCTCGCCCGGTTCCACTGTCTCTCCATCCCTCAGAGGATAGAGTTTAAAATCCGCATCCTCACTTTTAAAGTCCTCCATGGCTTTGCCGCTTCATACCTCTTTTCTGCCCCCACCTTTTGAAACTCCATCCCGGAATCCCACTGTCTGGTGCCATTTCTTGCCTCCTTCAAGGCCCGTCTCAAGACTTTGCTCTTTGATGATGCTTTGGGCTACCCTCCCAACCCCACCTCCCTACCCTCCACCCCTCTTGATTCCAACACCCAGATAGCGTACAAACCCTTAACTGTACAGAGATAATACCTTTCCGATTCGAAAGGCACTATGTATATATATATATATGTAACTGTGTTTTGTTTATAATTAACTGTAGTTAGTTTGAGGAATGACCTGGCCTTAGTTTTCCTTCACGCTCTCTTAACTTACACGAAGGATAGTTTATACAACGCTAGTGTCAGTCTGCAGAACTTGTAATTGACTCCCACCAGCATCCGACTTTTACATTGCTGACAGCCAGAAGGTGAAGCTGAGTACCTTTGTTTCATGTGTTGCGTTGCCCAATCTTTAAATCACTTTGTTTCAAGAGTCTGAACAAGGAACAAGTCTTAAGGCTTCTGAGCTCCAATCCGCAACTGATAATATTAATAATCCTTAGATTTGATATAACACCTTCTCGCATCTTCGAGACGTCTCAAAGCGCTTCACCGAATATACTGTAAAGTGAATTGACTGTATATTTTCTGGGCGAAACACGGCAGCCAATTGCGCACAATAGTGTCCCACAAACAGTCGTGGATTGAGTAATCAATTTTTTTTAGGGGATTAAAATCCAGAAAACGATCTACCAATCGACTAACGGGTTCCTACTTACTGCTAGGTAAGGAGAGGCGCGTGGAGTAGGGAAAGTTACCTAGGGTTTCGCCCCGCCCGGAAATCGAAGCCATGTCCTTTCGCTTGCAAGGCAAGTGCTCTAACAGGACTCCACATATAGAGGAAAGAGGTTTGACACTGACTTCAATGTGACACTGACCTACTTTATGGTCAGTATTCCCCCACCTTCCTCCATGACAGTTCATCTCCTTCATCCCAAACAGTTTAACTGAGACTAAGTGTTCGCAGCGTGAGATTACATCCCAACACTGAAACACCCACTTTTCCCCCATTTTACCACCTTATTTTTATCATTTTCAGTTTACTCTCATGTTCTCACTGCACCACTCATGCTTTTGGTTACTCAGTAATAATCAAACTGCTACCATTTCAAAATACCTGTTTTATTACAGTAATTTACTAGCAAAACCTTTTACATTTGTCCGAGGAACATTATATCCCATCTTGAGTCGAGCCCTGCTATCGTCACTTCATGCTTCTTAGCCAGTTTGTGTATTTGGCAGTAACAGTTTGACAGTAATTGAAACCTAATGAACTTCAATGTGTTTAATGGTTTAAAAAGTTCTGGGACTGTCTGCGTAGCTCTTCCTGACTAAGTGTTTGCAATCATGTTCCTTCTCATCTGCTGGATGTCTTTCTCAGTCCTTCATTTTGGTCAACTTTTTTATTCCCATCAATGCGTTCAGCTGGTTTGGAGGCTTCTCTTAACTTCTCTTATCTCTTGTTTCAAAAGAAAAAGGAGTCTTAATTTTATTCTTTTGAAGCTCCCGTAAGTTTTTAGTGAGTTCTCGCAAATAATAATCCCTCCAAAACAAAGCAATAATAAATTGGTCATTTTCAATCTACGACTGTTTGTGGGACATTGCTGTGCGCAATTGGCTGCCGCGTTCGCTCACAAATATACAGTCAATTCACTTTACAGTGTGTTCTGTGAAGCGCTTTGGGACGTCCTCCCGACGTGAAAAGCGCTATATCAAATGCAAGGATTATTATTATTATTATCTCCAGAATGTTGGGGAAAAGGAGCAGCTTATAATAATAAAATAATAATAATCCTTGCATTTGATACAACGCCTTTCACACTGTTGAAACGTCTGAAAGTGCTTCACAGGATATGTGTTATAAAGTGAGGTGACTGTGTATTTTGTTGGCGAATGCAACCACAACTTGCATTTACATAGTGTCTTACACATGGATAGAGTCTCGGAGTAGTTAACAGCCGTGTGGCTTGACACCGAACCGGAAGG